CCCCCGCCCGCGCTCGGCGGGCGGTAGAGGAGACGGAGGGAGAGAGAGCTGTGAGGCTTTATTCCAATTTTAAGGTCGCAATGTGCATTCCAAAGAAGCTTACGAATTATTCTCACGGACGGGATTGTCACAACTGCCAACTGAGCTGTTTGAAGAACAAAACAACCTCCCAACTATGTCTCCAGCAACCTTAAATCGAGTATGGCAATTAATGTTGAATAATTTTTAAATGCACTTTCTTGAATATATGTGAAATAATGCTTGTGACCATATACTGTCCACGACCACTATAAATTGGATCGTTCAGAAGTAGATAAAATGTGTGATTTGATAAGTGACCTCTCAAGTGTACAATGTAATGCACTATTCTATTTAATAACTTAGAATTTTTTTCTTGTGATACTGTTGTCAATATCATTGATTAATATATATTATTATGAATGTTATTTTTTCTTTGTTATTATTAATTTAATGAAGAATCATTCCACTAATAGATTCAAAAATCAAATGAAAAACTAAAATTATAATTTTAATTTGCATTCTCTAAAAAATATTTATTTCAAAACAAATATAGATATTACTAGTAACTTCAACAAACAATAATTGATAACAAAAGATTTCAAGTACAAAATATATGTTTAAATATTATTGGTGTTCTATTATTGTTGTATGAATTGTACGAAATGTTATTCTATAACACACATTATACTGTCAGATCTCGAGAATGCATTAAATTAGAAATGTAGATGTTCGGAAACAAATGCATCAAATGGAATCCAAGTGGGCAGACAGACTAAATGGATAGACAAAAAAATAAAAATCTACAAGCGTATGGACACCTGAGAAGAATTATCAGAAACCAAAAAGGTTTGAATCCCATCTGGACCTGGTAATTTCCCATTCATGTTTTCCAACAGCATCTTTAACATTCCATAGATTCCACCTGAAGTAAGTGTTTCGATTTTGTTCCTCTTACATCCGTTTGCCTGCACGTAAAAGTTCTTCGCAACCTAGAGCGTCTCTTTCAAAAGTCTTGAGCACTTGGTAAGGTTGGATAACTTAAGTTAGTTGATTTTCCTATGTAAAACATCGTAAAAGGTTTTGTCAGACTTGCTGAATATAAATTAACATTTTCACGTTTGTTATTCAGTTTGTGTCGCCTCAGGCACGACAAAAATACTGATAGTTTTATTTTATTGTATCAAGGTACTCAAGGCAATCACATGGGGAGAAGTTGGGTTCTCGTTGCGTGTGAATACCATATCTCTTCATTATCTTCTTTACTCGTTTTGTCGGTCTTCTAGATTTTATTCCCTTTACATATTCCACCAATGTCCTGCCTCCAAAATTTAATTTCATTATTTAGTCGTCTTTTCCACGTCGCAATTACATTATTTTTACTTCATCACCATAATACGTACTTACATGGGAAAGAGAAAGTATTGTAATGCTGCGGCAAAAATAAGCAATTTTTCGCCAGAAAAAACGCGTCTTCTAGCACCCTGGAAACAAAAAAGTAGATAAATATTATTACTATGTGTAGTAAATTGCTTCCTCTTGCACGTTGTGTAATCAGAATGTTTTGTGGCTCCTTGATACCGAAAAATTGATGGAAACAAAAAGTCTGTTCGTCTCTTTTTTTGGTCAACGCTAACGCCTAAATCGCTCAGAGGATGTTTTCCAAAATGGATGCTCCCCATCGATCAGGACGAACTCGAATCCCTACGAGTTTGAAAGGAGGGTTTGAGGATATTTTGCTTTTGGGAGTATTTTACATGAAAACTCAAAACTTCAAAAAAATTCGCAAAAATTGCTCAAAACGGTTATTAAACTTTGTCCTCGAATGGCATAAAGAACTTAAAAAATGGCGTGGGTGTCATTTTTTGCAAAAATCTTAATTTTTTTTAAATTGCAAAAGTTTTTTTCAAAGTATTAACTGAGTTCCTGCAACTGCAATGTTGAAGGTAGAGATTTTTTCTTCCGAAAATGTGTTCTTCAAAGACAGATATACAAAAAACGTGTAAATGTTTTCGAAAATATCAGTAGTTTTCACGAAATTGTACGTGAATTATAAGCAATTTTTAAATTGACTTATTTCACTCATGTTTATACGTGTCGTAAGTAACCAATGCTCACCAAGAATAAATTCAAATTAAACCAATACCAGATGACTATCGCCGTATGAGTATCATTTTATTACCCTTTTCACTCCCCTGTAGTAGAATATATTATTAAAGATTCAATGCCGAAAAACAGAAAAAGAAACAGAGAAATTATGTGGAAGCAATTTCAAGAATTTTGTGCAGAAAAAATAGTACCAGGCAGTGACAACTCGGAGTTGAATAAGATATATATTCTGGTGGCAATTTTTAGTAATATTTCTCTTTTTCGTAATTCCTGTGATTTTTAATTATCAATTCGACTCATTCTTAATTCGTGAAATAGTCACACTAAATATCACTCCAAGTAGGCGTCACAGGAACCTTAGATTACGTAGGACTCACAACGGCTGGCATTACAATATAATATATTGTAAGCAAAGAAATTGAATTGTCTGTTCAGGAATTCTGTGGAAAAACATGTTGCATCTCGAAAATATTATTTGAAGCAAGTAGCATTAAAATGATATTAAAATCAATGTAATCAGTGAACTAGTAGTGCTTCACAATGGCAGACTTTCCCGTATTAGTTTTCTATTTCCTTTAGTCTCGGGTAGCAATTCGAACTTGCCACATATGCTTGACATCTATCGCCGCCCAAAGTATATTTTCTTGAAATTATCTAAATTTTTCAGGTTTTCTAATAGTAGAACAGAAATATTATTTTTAGAATAATGAAGAACAGTAAAACATAGTCATAAAAATAGTTTTCAATGAATAATTTGCGTCCGTTTTAAAGAAAATTGCGCTTAAGCGCTGCTGTAAATTCGAATTTTGAAGCTCTTTTTCACTGGAAATTGTTGAGTTTTCAATAAATTTCATCTGAAGCACATAACTCACAAATACAACAGTGTTTGCAAATTGCTAGAAATGTGCACATTAACGGCGTGAAAGATCTTTCAATTTGTGTATTTTGCGTGTGACGAGAGAGAGAGAGAGGGTGGGGAGAGGGAGAGAGAGAGAGAGAGAGGAAAAAAAGGCGAAATGAACTTTATGTCACATCAAAGCGTGCAGTTAGCACTATCCGTTCGAAAAGTTTAAAGAAAATATTTGGAAACTTTTTTGAAAAAATGGCGTTTGAGCGTTTCTGAAAATGCGGAGAGGCTTCTCAGGTAACATAAATGTTGCTGCCATTAGAGACGTTTTGCCGTCGAGTGATTTTTCGGAACCAGGGGCCCACAAAACAACAATTCTGGCTACACCACGTGTTAGAGGATTTTTTCTTAATTTAGCAACTGGATTTATTCACTTTTGCGTAATCAGAGCCCGGCAATGATTTTTTTCTGCCGAAAATCTGCTGTTTTTTCGCGCAGCATTACATAACTTTCCCTATACTACGTATATCACTCCGTATATACATATGTATACGGGAAAGTAAAAATCTTAGAAATGTCCAAAATGTATTGAAAAAATAACCGCGCGTTCTGTCCTTATGCTTTTAGTTACGAATGGAAATCCTGATTCTCGCTGTATTTTAAACCTTTGGTAAGTATAGAAAATGTCTTCGACTGTTCTCCAGAAGGGTGTGACAAGGGGTGCTACGGCGACTTTCACGTATTGGAGTGTGGCCGACGCAATCGCAAACAGTGTTGACGAAAGGTCTCTCTCTAGATGCCAAGCGATTGACCGTGGCCCGCTGTGACATTTCGGACAATTACAGTGTGTCCGAAACAAAAACAAATAGAGCATGGATCGCTTACATGAGCTAGGAGACGGCGCGATTAATAAGTAATGTATTAAATTTTTGTTTGTTTCCCTTGTTACGGAAAGAAAATATCTAATAAAAATTATAAGAATAGAGAAAGAAATTTAATAAAAAGAAAGAGTAGAAGAGGCTTGAAACATTTTGTGTAATCCTGTCGGCTTTCTTCAGACCTAGACAGTAAAGTTTGTATGTGAGCAAATATTTAATTTGTTAATCGATATCATACGTTTTTATTTAAGTTCTATCTGTTGTCATCTGTATCATAGAATGGAAAATGTAATACCTTAATCCTTTGTGGTTTTGCAGCTCTGAATTCAACGAGATTAATAACAAATTATTACTATTTTTAATTTAAATCTATTAAGTATTCATTAAATATAAAACTTAATATTTAGTTAAATTATAAACATCACTAAAAGCATTCAATGTGGGCTTTCACGGCCGGTTTCTACATAATTGATAGACAACGCGGTGCTGCCAAGAACACTTCGCCCCCGCCAGCAACGCCACTGATGTTGCCTGCCACAGTTGCAGGCGAAACGAATGGATCAGTCTCCGTGGGACCACGGCCTACAAACCCGGAAACGTCTAATTATCACAATTATCACCCCCCCCTCCCAAAAATCGTCTCTGGATCTGCCCATGGATAAATGTTATTCTATGGTAATACATAAATCCTACAGAATATGTTTCAACCTCAAATTGAGCCTTATCAGTGGTCAGAATTTAGGAGGCTTTCCATGGATGAGTCGAATGGTGTTAATCTAAGACCATCTCGAGACGGCCTTGGTTAATCAATGACCTTTCCATGTATACTGCGATTTTCCTTACTCTGTCCCTCAAGCCAAGGAGGTTATAATATAACCTTTTCTCAAGCGCCTTCTAGGCCCTACTCCACGATGGCATTAAGGGCCGGTTTCACCAAACAAATGTCACTGTTTTTCGAGTCTTTCTCTGTCGGTCCGCTAGATAGGGCATAATTGCAACCGTATAGCAGCGCTGGTCGGTACATACCGCTCGTGACACTTCTAGCGTCTTCTTAAGTTACTATATCTCCAGTATATACGGTCGCGATCTACCGTGTGACCACTACTGTGACATCTAGCGGCACGTTGGAGAAACACGTAAAATACAGTGACATAATGCCACCGTGAAGTAGGGCCTTGGGGGACAGAGTTAGAAAACATCACAGTATAGTTGAAATGGTTCACGCTAAGAGTCGGTTTAAACGATTCCATGTAAAATGCCCTTCGTCTTTCATTCGATTCGGGATATTCGTGTTCCTCAACTACGAACAGCTGTTGAAAACGGAACGTTGCCATATTTCCAAACACGTAAGGAAATACCCATTCGAGAGTAACTTCTACGGAATATGTAGTCCACTTGTTTTAGACAATCACTTATTAGTTTATGATCCCTTTATTCCTCAGGCATCCGCTATGAACGCGATCCTTTGAATTTTTTTTCTTTAAATACATTGCTACAATACAATCTGGCAAACCTGCTTCTCAACCAGCTGTGAGGTTTCCCGCGCTTGCCCGCGCTGATTAACGGTATTGACTTGGTGGCGCCGGCGGCTAGTTGAGTATCGCGAAGTTTGTACTGCTTTCGCAAATGAATTCTGTGCGTTTCCGGTATTGTGTAACTACACGAAGATTTTAGTACGAATGTTAATTTCAGTAATTAACTTAATGTTTATACAACTGTGAACGAAGACACATGTAAACGAGCCATAGGGGAAGATATCAAATCACCTGTGAATAGGACTTCTAATTAATTTTTGTAAAATATTAAATAAGACTGTATTTATACATTGTGCAGAATATCGAATTTTGTGTTGTGTGACGCGTATCAGCGCCTAATAGATTTCAAGACATAACTGAAAACTATGTCACCAACTCAAACACGGTTAAAATTTAGGTGTAAAAAGAGAGCATCAGTGGAAGTTTGTAAAGAGAATGAACCCACTGTTTTGAAACAAAATGTGGAAGGAAGTACCGGAGATTGTATTAAAGTGGAAGACGAAAACGTGCGGCGTAGTGGTGGTAAAAGGCAATCAGTTCGACGTGATGGTGAGTTTTCACATATTGTCTGATCTTAATTAATATATAGACCAAGTTATTTTTTTAATACTTACTTGTTATGTTTACAGAGAAAGGAAATGTGAGTCCTCCAAAAAGAGATAAGTTATCTAGTGATGAAAAATCTCCATCACCATCACAACGCCTTAGTAACTTGTATATTAATGATAGAAATTCTGGAGAACATATACTTCCAAAACGGTTATTTGACAAAGGCAAAGTATCTGAATTGCGAACCTGCTATCTTGATTGTTGTGTATATGCTAAGCAAACGTTTAATGTCTTATATGGATATTGCAGGTGGTTGTTTTCGCCAAGCACGACAAGCTTTACATAGCTCTACGCCATCTGCCTTACCAGGTCGTGAAACTGAGATTCAAGAGTTGAAAACTTTTCTGTCTGAGAAGTTGAAAAAGGCTGCAACTGGAACACTGTACATATCTGGACCTCCAGGAACAGGGAAGACTGCCTGTTTAACTTCTTTATTACAAGATCCTGAGGTGTGCATATTGAATGTTGTAACTGATAGCTGTTGGTGCATGATTTAATGCTATTAATTGTTTCAACTTTCTAGTTTAAGGATTTCCGCAGCATATATGTAAATTGTACTTCCATGAAATCATCTGGAACCATATATTCTCGTATTTGTGAGGAACTGAAACTAAAGGTTTCTGGTAAAGGAGAAAAAGAGTACTTGCAAGTTCTTGACAAATTCTGGAATTCAAACAAAAAAATGACGTATGCAGCCATTGAATAAATCCAATTTTCTTTAGCACTAGTGTTTAGTTGTTAATTAATTTATTAATTGGATGTCTACTTCCACAGGATTCTTATTCTTGATGAAATAGATCAATTGGAGAGCAAGAGACAATCAGTCTTGTACACAATATTTGAATGGCCTTCAAAACTAAATAGTCATCTTGTACTAATTGGTGTTGCCAATGCATTGGACTTGACTGATAGGATATTGCCTCGTTTGCAGGCGCATTTAAAGCTCAAACCTGAACTTATGCATTTTGCTTCGTATACAAAGGAACAAATTGTTCGCATATTGGCAGAGAGACTGAAAGAGGTATACTTTATTAGTAAGCATAATTAAAAGAGTTTCTGAAACCTGTTTTGTAACGAATTTTTTTTCATTTTCAGATGGATGTTACTGATGTTTTCTCCCCTTCTGCCCTTCAATTATTAGCAGGAAAAGTGGCATCGGTTTCAGGTGATATAAGACGTGCTTTGGACATTGGAAGAAGAGTTCTTGAATTGGCAGAAGCTGAAAAATTATCACAAATTGCTCCCTTACAACCATCTACTGAGAGTGGTAAATTACATTAATAATGAAATTACTTGCGATTTTAGAAATGGGATTTTGTTGTTTCATTCCATTGCCCATATTCTCAACAGCATCAAATACATCGAGTCCTAGAAAGAAAACCAATGGATCTGTTCATCTGAAGATAGTAATGGATGTACTGAACTCTGTTTATGGTACATCACAGTCTCTTTGCAAATCAAATGAAGGTTCTGATGAAGATAATTTTCCACTGCAACACAAGCTGCTCGTTTGTACATTACTACTCTTGCTCAAGAAAGGAAAAACAAAAGATGTATCTGTTGGCAAGGTATGTGAAGATGATTTTTGACAGGTCATGAAATAATGTTATCTTGTTTTTAGTAGTATTGGTTTGTAATGATCTTTAACACTGACTGCTGTGATTGATTGATTCTGAGTGCATGAACTGCTAAGGTCATTAGTCCTGTAATAGTGCATGTTGTTTCCTTAGGAGGTAGTAATCTCCCATCTGATGTCAACCTTCACGTTGGGTGAAGGGGTTTTCCTCAACCAAGTATCTCCCACCAGCCAGGCTCTGTCCCAGCTGGAGCAAGCTCTATGCTTTCAACCAGTCTCTTTGCATGTGTAGTAGCGTAGTGCATGCAAATGTGTGTAAATAAGAGGCGAGATAGGGCAAGGAAAAGGAATGAAAGATCACATGCAGTCCATGGTCTGTTCGTTAGGGTATTGCTCTGGCATTCTTCAGGTATTGTTCAGAGAAAACACGGAAAACTGCTTATTCATGAAGACAGCCACTAGTATTCTTCTCTAGATAGCAACGGAATTGGACCTAGCTAGTGTCGAAAATCCGGTCAATGTCAAAACTCCAACCCTAGAACCTTCCAGCCAGAGGCACTGCAGTGATACCTTTGATGCCCTGATCTACCTCTCCCAGTTTGAGTCCTTAGGGTGTATCTAGTGAGTCCCATGGTGTGCATAATACATGTGGCCATCAGTGCATTTGTCGGCAATGGTAACTGAGCAAATCCTGTAATAACTGAACATTGACACTCAGAGAAAACTTGGAACAACTCGACCACTAAGAGGCCAGTAACAACAGTGGAGAAGATGTGAGCTAGGGAAGACCCACTGAGGCTGCAAGGACTCCAGCCATTTGTGGGATTGAAAAGAAAACTGAATAGTTAAGTCAGTTCCACCATGAATATTACATTGTCGGGCACTTCCTGAGGAGAGGGTGACTTCCCCACCCTCCTTGAAGGGCACTCTAGCGATATATACAGAATTTAAAAAAACTAACATTGGTCATTCTTACATAGAGGGCACTAAACCAGACAATAAGCGTTTGTTTTGTAACAAAACCCTGTATTAACTCAAGCAAATGTGTGATGAACGGTTCATATCAACATCAAGTTAGTTTGCAGCACAACTCGTGGATACAGCTAAAATCATCTCAGAAATTAATTGGGCCTTGCGAAAGCCATGAGGAGGAGATAGGCATTGTGCATTTACATGTCTAGAGGCTTCTAGTGTGAGCCCGACTACATGCTAACGCATGGAGGCCCTCAGGCACAACACATACATTTTCCATGTGCCAACATGAGCAGAGAAGTCCAAGGATTGGTTGAGAATGAGCAGAAGATTTGTGATTTATCCATCTCTACCCTTAGATAAATCACAGGATAGTTTTTTAGGGCCAGAATTTTTAATTCAAGAGTTAACTCATGCCAGTGTGTGATTTTTTTATGTACACAAGTATGAACAAATTTAATCTTTGTTTGGTTTACTTGTTTCTAGTCATGTTGCCTCTTTCATTAGCATTAAATTTGTATTTGTTTTAAACATTGCTTTGCTTCATTTAATACCTCCCTAAAGAAAGCTAGTCTTACAGAATTGTTGTTTTCAGTTGCATGAAGTGTATCGTAAAGTGTGTAAGAAGAGAAATCTAGTTGCCGTGAGTCTGGCTGAGTTTTTTGGTGTGTGCCAACTTGTTGAAACAAAAGGATTACTTCAAGTTCAAACCAAGAAGGAAACAAGATTAGCTAAGGTAAACATTTATCTTTGCATTGTTTTTTCCTGTGTCTCCTTCATTAGAATTGAATTTGTATTTATTTGTATCATTATACTGCTTGTTTTCATACCTACAAAAGAGAAAACTTTACAAGACAGTTTTGTTTAAATATACATCTAGAGAATTACAGAGTAGGGTGTTTCTATTTGTAATTTATACAATAATTGTTCTATTCATAAATTTATTGACATTATGTATACATCGAGATACAATATTGTCTGTACCTCATTCTCCTAGTCATGTCGTAATTCAGTCATTGAAAAATACTTCAAAGAAACCGTGGGACTTCCTCAGATATATTTGGATGTATGTTTTAAAATAATATTCTGAATGTCTTGCTTCAAATTACAGTCCTACAGTGAAAGATAAAATGTGTATTAAGCTTCCTTCAGCGATTCCATGAAAAAGTAGTCTTGTAGATTTGCTTACTAGTATTATTAGATCATTAGGAAGATGCTTATTTTATTCTAATATGTTTATAGACTTTTAATATATGTGTACAAATGATAAAACATGAAACATTTTGAAAAAGTTTTATTTTGCCTTGTTTTACTTATTAGAAAATTTACTATTGTTTTAAATGAATTAAAAAATATTTATGTGAATTAAAAGAAATAAATGAATAAATATTTTGTGCTCATACAATCAGTTCTGGGGCTTCTAAGAGATACGATCGTGTGTCTTGCATATCCAAATGACGTTTTACTCAATGCAAGAAAATAGAGGTTCGTTACTCATCAACAAAGATTGAAAATACTAAATCTGAAAATCATTTAAACCTTTACTTTTATCCAAATGTAGATTTTTTAAATTCATTTAAAGATACAGAAAATGTCTAAAAGGTATTTACATCGAATCAGGCAAAATAAAACTTAATCAAAATGTTACATTTTTCATAATTCGTGCATATACTGTATTAAAACCATTTAAATAAGTGTAATTGAATAAAATAAGTTTCCTAAACTTCCAATGTTTATTAAAATAGAACATAAAAAAGATTCCCCATTACACAACCACCCGTTTTTAAAGATAACTTTTTCCTGCTACTGTTAGTGGTCTCTTAATACAGGTTTCACTGAATTCAGAAGTATTTAGAAGCTTGAATTAAGAATTTTTTTTTTCCCCCCACAGGTTCGTCTTATGTGGGATGAGGAAGAAGTAGCTACTGCTCTGAAGGATAAGCATCTTCTCGCTGCTGTTTTGAGTGATACTACTGTGTTATAGCATCTGACTGAACAATGTAATTTATTTTATATATTGTTATGACTAAACCAAGTTAAGTCAATGAATCATTGCAATGAATTGATTGTAAATTAAGTTGGGAAAATAAATCTTTTGTAATAAAGAAATATCTTTCATTGACATGTTTAAATTAGGAACTATTATCTAGATTCAGGTGACTTCCAAATTGTAGAAAATGTCTGTATTGGAGACCTTTTAAAATTTAAGAGAAAAAACTTCTGTGCAATTTTTAGAATACTGCAGAGTTTGGAAAACTAGGAAATGCCACACTTAGGCAATTTTTTGTATGATTATATAGATGTGTATTTTTTGTTGATTTTTCACTGGTTATAAAAAGAAATTACTAGAGTTTTGAATAGATGTACTTGACAAGACACTAAAATCCCTAATGTCGCTGTTAACAGCATTTTAATTTTGGTTCCAACAACCAGGGAAGTCGAAAAAAATAATCTTTGGATAAATATAGTGTGACTGATTTTCATTCCCAGGCATTTTGTTTTAAAACTCCGAAAGAAGAGAGGATTCTCCTTAGGACTTCCTTCTGTGCATGTAGGAGGTGCAAGGGCTTGCAATATGCTTTCCTTCGCAACTCTCACTTGTGTCAATATGCATACTCGTGATTGCAGTCAGCATGCACTATAATAGTTAGCTCATGCAGCAACTCATTAAAACAATTTTTATAATGGGGAATGGAAAAGTCATTCCAATAAAGTTGCATGTATATTTTCTTAGCTCTTTGGTTAATTGATATGCACAAAAGGAATTAGTAAAACACAATAAAGACATGTTTTTTGTATTCTGTGTGAAATACTGTTTTACGGCTCTTGCCAAATGGTAAAAATTTCTCATGAGTAGAATATGAACTAGTGATTCTACAGAATGGCATAGGCTTTCTCATACTAGTTAGTTTCCAATTCTCTTGTGTGTAGGATAGCTTTTCAGTTTTGCTTCATCCTCTGCCAACTTGGCATCAGAAAGACATTTTTTTCTCATTTTCACAATTGTTCTCCTAAGAGTAGATTTGAAATATGGCATTAGGAATATTATAGAACAGTGAAAACTATACGCAAACTTTTATTGACATATTTGTATACAGGCCATTCTGGAAAAAATTTCTTTAAACGTTTCTCAAAATGCAAAATTTGAAGCTCATTTACGCAGAAATCTTGTGAAATTTTGGAAAACTTGGAAATCATATGTGTGTTTTTCTTTCTCGCTGTCACCTTTACGCAGTAGAGAGAATACTGCGCGAAAAAACTGCAAATTTTCGGTACGGTAATTTTTTTCGGATAATCCGAACAGACCACATGACCAATTTGTTCGGATTTCCGGGGTTTACTGTAATAGAACCGAAATATTACTTTAAGAATATTAAAGAAGAGTAAAACCTCGTCATAAATGACATTTTTATCGAAAATTGTGAAGCCGTTTTTAAGAAAATGGTGTTTAAACGATACTGTTAACACGAAATTTAAAGATCTTTTTCACAGATAAGTTTTCAAAAATTTCATTTGAAGTCATTGGAGGTACTTTAACTAACAAATGCAAACGTATTTACAAATCCCGGAAAATGTGCTTATTAATGAGAGACATTAAAAAAAATTATATGTATAATTTTGGGGAAAATCAGCTAAATGAATTTATCTTTTTTAAGAGTGCAATTAACAATATCCGCTGGAACTGTTTTAAAAACATTTGGAGACATTTTTGAAACAATGACGTTTGCTGTTTTTGAAAATGCAGAATTTTGAGGTCATTTTAACAAAAAACTGAGTTTAGAGAAACTTTATAGGACATTTTTAAAGTACATGCACTCATAATTACAATAATGTAAACAAATTGCCGCTAATATAAATATTAATGACGTAAGAGAAGTAATTCCTTTTTTTTGTAACTTTTGAAAAAATAGCACAATACAGCAATATGACAAATACGTCATCTTACAGAGTGCATTTAGCACTAACCCTAACAAAAGTTTACAGAAAAGTATTGGAGCAGATGTGCAAAAATCTCTTTTTGAAATTTTTTAAAATTGCAAATATAGCGCAAAGACTACTAAAAGTTTCAAAAATGTACCAAATATCTGACCTATGTCACCTTTGTAAGTGTATTTTATTATATTCTTACAAGAAAATTAAAGAACAAATTTGCAGCTATTTTTGAGAAAACTTTGAAAATGTCCGAAGGGCTTCATGTCAAGTACACTCAAAAATTAATGCATGCTGTGCAGAGCTGTGACTTCGTGTTATTCAGTTTGGAAAAAATTGAACTATACGATAGTTCATGCACTAGTGTTGTTCACATACATCGGACGGTAATTTTGCCATCAATCGATTTTTTGGTATCAAGGACCCACAAAATGTGGATTTTGGCTACAACACGTGATAGAGGATTTTTTCTAAATTTACCCACTGGATTTATCCACTTTTTCGTTACCAGGGTTTGCAATAGGAGTTTTTCTGTCGAAAATTCCCCGTTTTTTCGCGCAGCATTACATAAACTTTCTCTACTCTACTTATACTACACCGTATATACGTACATGTACGAGAAAGTAACTAGTGTAACAGATTGGCGCAGTCTTTCCCGAATTAGTTTACTATTTCCTTTGGTTTCGGCTAGCTATTCTGATTTGCCACATACTCATGCCAGCTGCCATCTATCGCCGCCAAAATGCATTTCTTTTAAATCTTAATTTTTCGGTTTCTTACTAGTAAAACGGAAATATTATTTTAATAATATTAAAGGACAGTAAAGCTTTGTTGTAAACTGCAATTTTCATTGAAAAAATTTCAGCAATTTAGGTGAAAACGACTTTTAAGCTCTACTATAAATTCAAAATTTGAAGCTCTTTTCACATATAAATTTTGAGTTTTCGAAAAACTTAATTTAAAGTCATTTAAAGCACTTTAACTCACAGATACAATAGTGTTTACAAATTTCTGGAAATGTTCATATTACCGGCGTGAGACATTTTACAAAAAATCACATAAATGTAGTTTTGTGAAAAAAAAAAAAACAACAACAAAAAATACCCCGAAATGGACTTTACGTAATATTAAATTTCGTTACGTTATGATAAATTTTCACTTCGACTTTGTTATAATTAATTTTCAAAAGAATGTGAATGACATTAATGAAAGAACTAATTATAGACATCAAATTCATTATTTGGATTGTGTAATAAACTCCTAACAGAACAGTAGGTCCGATTTTCGTTGGTTTCCTTGATTTTTCGAAAACCGCAGAAGTTTAATATATTTTCGGCTGCTTCCTACAACTAAAATATTGAAGATCTAGGTTCTTTCCCTTCATGAAATGTATTCATCAGAAGCAGATCATCAAAGAAAATCACCTTCAATTTTTCGAAAATATGAGTATTTTTTGCGTGAACATAGACGCTCTTAAAACCACTTCACATTTATTGTACTACACGTTAAGGCAATGCAAATAACTGAAGACTTATTCATTGGTAGCTATGTTATTTAGTGGGTTATTTATATTATTGCAAATGTGGATAATCTACACGCGAGACATCTGAGAATGACAGGAAAATGTTTAGAAGTGTGAACCGCGAATTACAGAACCTGCAATCTACTATTGACTTGAAATAACCATCTAACTTTTCTTGCTTTAAAACAGAAATCTACTTTTGTCCTCTTAGTTGCCATTGAGCTATTATTTTACATTCTTGATTTTTGGGTACAGTAAAAAACAACTAAAAAACGTATTCTGTGTCTCCTGACCTTTTGCCTCAGTTAACTGTCGTGACACAACTTCGTCATCGTCAAAGTACAACATTTTAGAAAAAAAGAACATTCACTGAGCGAAAGTGTACCTTAACTAAACAAAACGTTTTAAAACCATTGTAGGCAGAGGAAAACCTCCAACGAAGAACGAAAACGTCGTTTTAAAAGAAAATCGACACCTGTCTTGAATTATCCATAAGCTCACGGCTTGTAGCAGCCTGCCGCATGCCACCCAGAGGCTACGGTGCTGCCGTCCGAACTACTAAAAGTCACGTGTTCTGGACATCGATCTTCTGCGCATGCTCAGATGCACCAATGTGATAAGAAACGAACTGCGCATGAGCTGAAGATCGATAGTGCTTTAACGTTCAAGGGTGCAAAGTGGGGAAGTTTGTGCTCGCTATGGTGGAAAAATATGGATGAGGTCCTCCGGTGCACCGATTTTTACTCGTTCTGCGCTACACCGGTTTGCGTCACGAACCACGTGACCACAACACGGACACCGTTTGAAAAGCCAGACTAGACGCTCGTCGCCGTGTTGCATGGAGAGAGAGAGAAGGGTTGAGGTTGAGAAACATTTTGGATAATGGAGGGCGCACGAAAGTGCATAAAAATATAATTAAAATTCTTTGCTATATTCTGACACTGTTTTAGTTCTTTTCTTGCATTTTTGAATGTGTTATCGTTCATACTGTTCACCACACATGAAGCACATGCAGTCTTTTTTCACTTTGTGGTAGTGGGAGGTGTGCAGATTTTGTGATGAAACCCATGAGTCGCTAGTCTTGTGATCACGTGTCTTAATGGTTTGTTTATGTCCATTTTCTTTTCATCATGGCATCTGTTGAGTAAAATTTTGGACATATTTCTCTTCTTTTGTCTTTCTTCTCGCACTTCTGTGCTTTGCCTGGTGGATGATAGTAATTGGTATCTTTAGTAATTGGTATGCAGTTCGAATATTAACCTTGATTTTTTTGATATTTGAAAGACAGGGCTCTCTTACCTTAGTTCTCTCTCTGGAGTTTAGATCAGCTATTGATAGTTTTCCCTATATTCATTGTATCCCGTATGTTATGATTGGTCTATTGACTGGATGAAAAATTTTGATTGCTGATTCTAATAATAGTTTGTGGATATTTTTTATTGAGTACATGGCTCTAATCGCCGTTGCTGCTTGTTGTCTGGTATAAATTTCGAATGTTCTGCCTGTTGACTGCAGTGTTATTTCTTAATATCTGTAATATTGAGCTATTTGTTCTTGAATTTTATTTTCTCACTTGCTGCTATTCCTCCTTTTCGAAAGGCCATCTGTACTGTCTTGCTTTTATTAATTTGGAGGTCAACAATATTATTTATTTCAATA